ACCGCATCCCAAAACCAGTCCAGCTCGTCCCTGCCTCCCTAACCTGTTCTTCCTCCCACCTATCCCCTCCTCCCACCTCAAGCCGCACCTCCATCTCCTACCGACCAACCTCATCCCGCCCCCTTGACCTGTCCGTCCTCCCTGGACTGACCTATCCCCTTCCTAACTCCCCACCTACACTCACCTTTACTGGCTCCATCCCCGCCTCTTCGACCTGTTTGTTTCCTCTCCACCTATCCTCTCCTCTATCCCTCTTCTATCCGCCTCCCACTCTCTCCCTATTTATTTCAAAACCCCCTTCCCCTCCCCCTTTTCTGATGAAGGGTCTAGGCCCGAAACGTCAGCCTCTCTGCTCCTATGATGCTGCTTGGCCTGCTGTGTTCATCCAGCCCTGCACCTTGTTGTCTCGGATTCTCCAGCATCTGCAGTTCCTACTATCCCTAGTCTGGATCCTTTGCCTGGACAGTCTAGACATTGGGTTCATGGTCTCAGGAAAATAGAGGCTGAGGTAAGAAGAGATTTCTTTCACCAGGGGGGCTGTGAACCTTTGCAGACCTCTACCCAAGAGGGTTGTGGCTACTCACTCATTGATAATATTCAAGGCTGAGGTATATGGATTTTTCAGCTTTCGGAAAATCAAAGTTTCTGAAGATCAGCTGGGAAAGTGGACTTGTGTGGAAGATTAACAATGATCATATTAAATCGTGGAGCAGGCTCAAGGGGCATTTCATTTCCTGAAGAAGGTGACATTAATTGGGGAATAACGTCACCGACGACAGCTGCTCTCTATTGCTTGTTCAGTTTATCTGTGAGCCCTGATGTTGGATACTAATAGACCATGGGTTGGAGGGAGGTTATGATCCTCTTCACCAGGTTTCTGTGCTAGCTGGAGACCAAGGTTAGCAACATTGATTTCTCTCATTAGCTCGGACAAAGGAAAGCCAATTTTCACTCTCTTCTACTCTAGGCTTTGATTGATATCAGCTGACCCAGTATCTAGAACAGGAATGGAGCTAGAGATCATTTACTTTGCACGGATTAGATGGTGTTAAGATACAGAGCAGCCAAGATCTAAAGGAATGGTAAAACAGGAATGAAGGGCCAGACTGGCCTACATTTGTTCTTATAAATCAATTCTGATCAGTTTCCATATGAACTATCTAAGGAATAAGGATTGCTAAGTAGCTAGAAGTAATAATTGCAGATATGTTTAAGAAGTATGTGTTGGTTACAGATGGCTTACGCAATGCTCTTAACCATTTCTCCCACCCTGTTATAGATAATTGGTGGCATTGACTCATCTCTTTATCTGGGCAACATCTGGTTTACACCAATCAGGAAGGAGTGGTACTACGAGGTCATTATAGTGAAGATTGAGATCAACGGACAGGACCTGAACCTGGACTGTAAGGAGGTGAGAAAGTCCCACGGACTGAAATACTTTACCCACACACTCAACTAAGCACAGTGCGGAGTGCACTGTGGTCACATTCTGAGACTGAACATATTCTCACTTGAATACGATGAATTAGTGATTTAATGACAGGGACTGAACATTGTCAATAAGTGGAATCTTATCGGGGGGTCAGGTGTCTCCTCTGCTACCTGAGAAGGCAGTGAGGGAGTGCACTGCCTCTGTTTTTTCAGAAGCTCTGCCAAACCCTAGGCCACTAACGCAGTGGCAAGGTCAGGAGTGAGCCTCTCACTACAATCAGCACCCCACACACAGAAGCCTTGCTTACCAAGATTTAGTTTGTGTGAAGTATCTCTTTTCCTTAGAAGCACCACTGGGGAAAGCAAATACTGAAGTCTCAGGGTGTCCCAGGCCAAAGGTAAGTAATGAGGAATGGAAATACATTTCAGACCCACCACCATCCTGTCCAATTAGATGCCCTTCTGCCCCCAGTGTCTTACCAACAGAAGCAGCAAGAGCAGGAACTACTTTATTTACCACTCTCACTGCTGCATGAGTTTCCACAACAGCTCACTTACATTTAGCTGCACAACCCCCCCATTATGTGTTTGCCTTGAAACTGAAATCTATTTGATTTTCTCCAGTATAACTACGACAAGAGTATCGTGGACAGTGGAACTACAAACCTTCGGCTGCCCAAGAAGGTGTTCCAAGCTGCAGTGAAATCCATCAAAGCTGCGTCTTCTGTTAAGTATTGTTTTGTAAAATGAAGGAAAGTTGATGCAGTTTTTAAAGCCCCTTCTTGCGCTCCGTTCTTCCTCCTCAAGGAAAGTATTTAGATTTATACGCATGAAGCTGATCATTTATAGTGCTAGAGGGAAAGGGTGTGGCTGATTGGATAGCATGTCGTAACAGCTAGTACAGGCATGATGGGCCAGATGGCCTCATTTCTTCAAAGGCACACCCAAGTGAATTATGCTGCAGCAGTAAGTTTCACAGGAAGATCTAGGTTAATTTACAGAGTGACATGATTCTTAACCAGGCAATGAAGGAAACACTATAACTGGCCCCATTTCAGGGATGATGTCAGAGTCATTTGGTGCACAGAGGAAGGCTTTACATGAAGCATTCTGGTCACTCACATCCCTACCCAATGCCCCTGGTCTTGCAGATTTATTTCCATTGAGTGCGCAAACAGTTTCCTTTTGAAATTATTGATCATGTCCACTTCCACCACACTTGTGATTCATGAGTTCCAGATCAATAAGCAGAAGCTGTTTCAAAAAAAAAATCCTCCTCCCATTCCTCTTGCAAATCTTGCCCAAAATCTTAAAGCTGTGACCCCCTAGTCCTTGTACTGTCAGCTCATGGGAGCAGCTTTTCTTTGTCTACCTCGTTCAAACCTGTCATAATCTTGTTCACATTGATCAGATGTGCCCTCAGTATCTCATTTGATCATTGTACAGTAGGGTGTGAGATGGTGGCTCAGTGGTTAGCACTGCTGCCTCACAGCGCTAGGGTCCTGGGTTCGCATTCCAGCCTCAGGCAACTGTCTGTGTGGAGTTTCCATGTTCTCCCTGTGTCTGTGTGGGTTTCCTCCGGGTGCTCCAATTTCCTCCCACAGTCCAAAGATGTGCAGGTTAGGTGAATTGGCCACACTAAATTGCCCAAGGCCTGCAGATTAGGTGGGTTAGCCATGGGAAATGTAGGGTTACAGGGATAGGGAAGGGGACTGGGTCTGGGTGTGATGCTTTTTGGAGGGTTGTTGTTGAATTGATGAGCCAAATGGCCTGCTTCCATACTGTAGGGATTCTATGACTCCTCTCAGTAAGGCCTCATAATCTGATACCAGGTGGAGAATAGGAGTGAATTCGAAACGTGGTGATTCTCAAAATTGATTGCATTGTCTCAAGATGCAGGTTTTAGTGAATGAAGAGCAGCACTTTGGTGAGATGCAATGTATATACACATTTAAAGGTGCATATCTTAAACTGCTGTTAGTCATAGTTACCACTGATCCAAGATATGATGTACAAGTCCCCTGCCTTGTAGTCAGTCCGAAAGCAGCAGTCGATGAGATTGCCTGTGCAGTGCATAGTCTCCTAGGTCAGTTCACTGATTGGTGCTTTTATGTTGAAAAGAAGAGGAACATAACAAGATGTAGGAGGGCATCAGCTCCCATAGAACTGTACACCTATACATCAGCACTTGTATGGGGCAATGGAGGAAAGTAAATGCCCATTAAATCTTGCCACTGATGACAATGCAACACAATAAACACAATAGATGGCAACTATCAGATGAGACATTAATACAAAGCTCAGTCTGGCCTCTCTTTCTAACAAAAAATGTCTTGGCACGGTTTCCTGGAGAGCAGGGAAGTTCTCTCCAGTGTCTTGACCAATATTGCTCTCTAAACCAATATCACAAAGAGAGAGTATTTGCCATCATCACATAGCAATTTGTGGAAGTTTGCTGTGTCAAAGTGGCTGTTATGTTTCCTATCCTGTAACAATGACTATACTTTACAAAGTACACTGTTGGCTATAAAGCACTTTGAAACAACTGTAAGTTGAGAGAAATGCTGTAGAAATGTAGGGTTTTTCTTGCTTTCATTAAGTGCAGATCAAATAATTCCCTGCAATTGGAAACTACAGCAAGTTTTGTCTTGGGCAGAATTTGAGACCGTTAGGAATTACTTCTTGAGGTACCAGCTTAGGTACAAGGATGAGTCCCAAATGTGACAAGGTTGAAGTCACAGCCTCTTGTTCTGGCAAATATTTTTGATGGATTGTCTGGTTTGCTGACAGAAAATCAGTTCATGACATCAGGAATATCTTGGTGTACTGGGAACTCTCCATTGTTCCAGGCTTTGTCTCATGTCTACAGTTTAAGATTGATTCCATTGTTAGAAAATAGAAAGCAAACTTCTGAGAAAATGGACAAAAAGTCCCGAAATCAGGGAACAAGAAAGTGGTCAAACTTGAGGCGGATTCTAAACTTGAAGGGTCAGCCTAATCACAAAGTACTCATGTGAGAACTAAATTATGTCAGTGGCTGAGCAGTACCCCAGTGTAAAATTCCTTATTTTGGAAGAAAAATAATGGGCTTCATGCAGAGTCCACGAAGGGTGCTGAATTAGTTAAAGGTGATGTTGGAAGGACTGTAGGGGTATCAGCAGACCTACATCTCAAAACATGCAATGATTTCAGAGCAGTATTCATCCAAATCAATGGATGATGAAGGAGGTCAAGCAAAAACACTATACAAGTTTGACCTCACCAGATAGCTACTGAGAAAGACCATCATTTCAAGAAATGTATAGGATTCTGAATGGGTTTGACAAGGTGGACCTGGGTACTATGTTTCCTGTCATGGATCAGTCCAGAATTAGGTGGGAGGAGGTGACACCGTTATAAAATGAGATGGGTCACACTTTCAGAACAGGGCTGAGGAGAATTATTTTCTTTCAGAGGGCTGTGTGACTTTGGAATTTTAAAAAAAAAAAATATTTGTGGGATGTGGGTGTCGCTGCTTGGCCATCATTTATTGCCCAACCCTAGTAGCCCTTGAGAAGGTGGTAGTGAGCTGCTTTTTTGAACCGCTGCAGTCCATGTGCTGGACATAGACTCACAATGCCAATAGGGAGGAGAAGCTTATGTTCAATAACACAACCTTCATTGTTAACTGGAGGAGAGCATTCCAAGCATTAAAGACTGTCTAAAAGAAGAAATTTCTTCTCAGCTATGTCTCACCAAGGCTCCTCCAAAGTACCTTCCAAAGCGGTGACTGCTACCACCTACAGACGCACGGAACTCTGCAGGTCCCCTTCAAACCATGCACCACCCAGGGTTGGAACAGTATTGCAGTTACTATACTATCACTGGATAAACATCCTGGAACTTCCTTTCTAACAGCACGATGCGTGTACGTACATTCCCCTTCTCCCTTTGTAGATCGCAGAGTTTCAAAAAGGCAGCTCACCACCATCTTCTCAAGGACAGTTAGGGATGAATAATAAATGTTGGTCCAGCCTGTGACAGCCACATCCTGTGAACAAATAAAAATAAGTGACAGACTTGGACAGTGCATGTGATAAAAGACAAAAGAAGCATATGTTCAAATGGACTGATTTAATGAAGCTCTTGCTCATGCACAGAGGTGATGGCCTAGTGGTATTATCACTAGACTATTAATAAAAACAGGTAACGTTCTGGGGACCTGGGTTCAAATCCTGCCACGGCCACTGGTGGAGTTTGAATTTGATAGGAATCTGGAATTCGGAATCTAATGATGACTGTTGAATCTATTATGAAATGTCAGGAAAAATCCATCTGGTTCACTAATGCCCTTTAGGGAAGGAAACTGCAATCCTTATCTGGTCTGGCCTACATGTGACTTCAGACCTACAGTGATATGATTGACTCTTAACTGCCCTCTGGGCAATTAGGGATGGACATTAAATGCTGGCTCAGATGCCAATACCCTCATCCTGTGAATGAATAAAAAAAGACAGAGCCATGAATATCTGCAAGGGACTCTCTTGTACAGGGGGGCATGTTTGTAGGTACTTTATGGATAGAATGAGCCATCTCTTGTGAATTTGCAGCGGTCACAGTTCCATGTGCCTTAATAACTTAACACACAAATGCATGTTTAAATGATAAATAACACTATTTGGAAACTTGTACATCTGCTCTTTATTGAGGGCACCTGGGACAATGAAATATTCACGATTATCATTGTTACTTCATGTTTTTTAACTTATTTTTTTCTCTTTCGACAGACGGAGAAATTCCCAGATGGTTTTTGGTTGGGTGAGCAGCTGGTTTGCTGGCAGATTGGCACCACGCCCTGGCACATCTTCCCAACAATATCGCTCTACCTCATGGGGGAGGCCACTAATCAATCTTTCCAAATCACTATCCTACCACAAGTAAGTGCATGCAAGCTGGGTTTGCCCCTCTCAGTTCTAAAAATTAATGCACTTAATTTTTCTCTAATAATGTTGAAAAATGGCACATTTTATTGAAGTCTTTCATCTTGCCCTCATCAGGGTAATATTCAAGGAATACCAATGGTGTTCCCCTTAAATTGCTTTTCTTGTGAATTGTCCTGATGAGTGCAAGGCACAATACTGAAGTTCTGTACTCTGAAATGACTATTATCCTTAATAATGAAGTTTCTTTACTCACTTAGGTCAAATTCGGTTTAAATCAGATGGATCTTCTGTGCGAGAATTTCGGTTGTGAGCTCTATGTTTGGGCCAAATTAACAAATTTATTAAAACTGACAACCTAAAGCCATCTCATGGTAGCCATGAGATAGGAGCTGCAGGTGCTGGAGAATCTGAGATAACAAGGTGAAGAGCTGTTTGGCCTGCTGTGTTCATCCAGCTCTTCATCTTGTTATCTCATGGTAGCCATGTATGGAGCCATGTAGGGAGGGTTATCTTAGGAGGTAGGGATGGGCAGACTGCTGGATTTTATTAGAATGAGAGGTTGTCTTGCGTGGATACTGAAAGTATGTATCCCATTATGGGAGAGTGTAGAATAAAAGTAAGGGGTCACTCACTTAAAATAGAGTTAAAGAGGTTTCTTTTCCCTCAGAGAGTCGTGAGTCTTCAGAACTCTCTGCTCCAGCCAGCAGTGGAGGAGGGGTCATTGAATATTTCTAAGGTAGAGATAGGTAGATTTTTAAGTCATTGGTAAATGGAAAGGGCAGGAATGTGGAGTTGAGGCTGCCTTCAAATCAGCCATTGAATGCCAGAGCAAACTAGAGGGGCTGAATGGCCTACTACTGTTCCTAATTGGTATGGTCCAGATGAACCATGAATAGAGCAAGATTCTGTAAGCCTGGAATAAAAACAGAGAATGCTGGAAAGTCTCAAGAGGCACGTTTGGCAGAGAGTGAAATAGAGTTTCGGGTCACTGGCTCTTTGTCAGTGCTGCGATTAGTAACCAAGCCTTCTGTCTACTCCTCTTGCTTATCTTTTACCTTTCATACTTCAGCCAACAGTGAGATTTATGAGTGGATCATGGAGAGAACAGGGAAAAGGGCAGAATGAGGAGTGAGAATTATTTCAGCATCCCCCACATTTGGAAGTCCCTTTACTGATACGGAAAAGAGTTTTCACTGCTGCTAGAAACTCAATGATATCTCAAGCTCAATGTTCCCTTGCTTGCCAAGGGTGACAGATCGAGACAATGGAGTTTGGCAGGTTATTAAGCAACCACAACAGCCTATATTTATACAGGATATTTTAACATAATAAAATGTTCCTGTGCTCTTTACAAGAGGATTATAAAACAAAATATGACACCAGCTACATAAGGAGCTATTATGTCAGTTGACAATAAGCTTGCTGAGTGGTACATCTTAAAAGAGGAAAACAAGATGAAGAGGCAAGAGATGTTCGTTATTCCGGAGCTTAGCCCCTAGATAATGGAAAGTGCAGCTACTACCAATGGTGGAGTGACTGAAATCCGGGATGCTGAAGAGGCCAGAATTGGAAGAGTGCTGATATCGTGGGGTTTGATGAGATGAACCTGGCTTCCTCACTCAAGTACGCCAAGGTCACATTCTCATCATGGATTTAGGGGGACAGTGGCCTAGTTGTACTGCTGCTGGACCAGTAATCCAGAGGCCCAGTTAATGCTCCACAAATCAAATCTTACCATGACAGCTGGATGAACATAAATGTAATGAACGAAACAATGCTACTTAAAAATATAAAAACTGGAACCACCAGCCTTTATTCCAGTGACATTAAACATTAAGGTGAGAGGAGAAAGACTTAAAGAGGAGATGAGGGGCAACTTTTTAGTACAGAGAGCGGTTAGTGTGTGGAATAAGCTGCCAGAGAAAGTGGTGGATGCAAGTACAGTTACAACATTTAAAAAACATTTAGATAAGTTCATGAATAGGAAAAGTTTGAAGGGATATGGGTCAACTACAGGCGGGTGGGACTAGTTTAGTTTGGGAACTTGGTTGGCATGGACTGGTTGGACCGAAGGGTCTGTTTCCATGCTGTATGACTCTGACTATACAGCCACGCCACTGTCTTTCTGACTCGCTAGTCTCACTTATTGAGATTAATAACTGTATAAACACCCAAAGAGAAAATAAAATTGCTGGGCTAAGAAGAAAGGGTCAGGGAACGAAACTAACAGAGCTGCTGTTGCAGAGAGCTGGCATCAACAGGACAGGTTGAATAGCCTACTTCAGTGCTGTTACTGTCCTCTGTTTCTCTGTCCACTCTCAATGCTGGCTGTGGGGATTCTAAGCCTGGGCAATCTCAACCCGGTCGCAGGTGTGTGTCTGACCTCCAAAGCTCCATTCCTTTTATTTACAGCAATACCTGCGCCCAGTGGAGGATGTGGCCACTTCTCAGGATGATTGCTATAAGTTTGCCGTCTCCCAGTCTACAACAGGAACCGTGATGGGCGCCGTCATCATGGAGGGGTTTTATGTTGTCTTTGACCGTGCTCGCAAACGCATTGGATTTGCAGTTAGCACTTGTCACGGTGAGTGGAGCATGTCACAAAATCTGTTTAAGCACTTTTGGTTCAAGAAGACAGCTCAGCACAACCTTTGCCAGGGCAACTAGAGATGGGAAATAGAAATGGGCCCAGCCGGTGATGTCCACATCCCCTACGAGTGAATAAAAAGAATTGCAAAGATGACATCCGATAGAATCTTCCTTTTATAGCCCTTCTCCCTTTAGTTCTTGCGATTCCAATCCAGACACCATCTTAAATCATGAGTGTAAATCATCCTTTCACCATTGCTGAGATAACAAGGTGTAGAGCTGGATGAACACAGCAGGCC